AGGATGCTGGGATCACGACCTGAGCCGAAGGTAGCTGCTTAGCCCCCTGAGCCACCCAGCCACCCTCTAAGCATTCTTTTTCAATTTTGGTTTCCTTCTTCAGGTATGATGATAAAGATGATCAGTAGCAGCTCTAGACTTATATAATTCTTAGAGTCCACATGTGTTTATCTGTATAGCACCAGTCAAATTGGTGGATGGAATGCCAGGCTTGGGTCGTGTGGCCTATACCTGAACCAGTCACCCTAAGGCTAGAGGAGTGTGATCCTCTGATCTGACCAAGGACATGTGCCTGGTTTTGGGAGAGGCTTAAGATTAGCCCTCTCTTAAGGCTTGAGGGAGGAGCAGATTGATTCTTTAAAAAAAAAAAAAAAATCAGATGCTATTCCCCAAGAAAGGGAAATGGGTTCAGGTTAGGCAAAATATATAAATATTCCATATATGAATCTAGATCTACTTTTGAAGAAATTGACTGATTTGGACTATGTTGAGTTGAATTGTGTTCTGCAAAAAGATATATTGAAGTCTTAATTCCCGGTATCTTTGAATGTGACTTTACTTGGAAATAGGGTCTTTACAGTTGGGTCAAGTTAAGATGAGGTCATACTAGATTAGAGTGGGACCTAATCCAGTAACTGGTATTTTTAGTAGAAAGGGGGAAATTTGGATACAGGTAGAGATTGGAGTTATGTGGCCATAAGCCAAGGAATGCCAAGGATTGCTGACAACCACCAGAAGCTACAATGAGGCAAAGAAGGATTCTTCCTTAGCATTTGGGGTGAGAATAGCCCTGCCAGCATCTTGATTTCTGCCTTCTTGTCAGTCTCCAGAACTGCAAGACAATATATTTCTGATGTTTTAAGCCACCTAGTTTGTGGTAATATGTGGTAAAATTCAGCAACTCTAGAAAACTAATGTAAAACATATTTAGTACTTACAAAATTTTTTTTTATTCAGCCCATTTTTTTTTTAAGTTTTGTTTATTTAATAATCTCTATACCCAACATGGGGCTTGATCTCATGACCCCAGGATTGAGTTGCATGCTGTTCTGATTGAGCCAGCCAGATGCCCTGCAGCCCATCTTCTTAAAATAAAATGCTGACCATAAGTTTTCCCCATGAATACCTTTTACATTTTAAGTGGCTTTTTTGGGGATTTCGGATGCCTTTGAAATTTATGGGTTTGACATTTGAAAATATATTTCGTTAGAATTTCATTGTATCCATAATGTGAGGTGGTACTTTGTAATTGATTGTGTTTATTGACCTCTACATTTTTCAGAGTCTGTAGTTGTAGTTTAGCTGAAGCCACTGTCCTTATGGATGTACAGCTAAACATTATTTCTCAGTGTGTTTGACTCCCAAATAGCACAGCGCCATGTGAGAATCAGGAGTAGACATAATTAAAGTGAAACACCCAGAGTAAATATGTTCTAGTAGCTTGAACATGAAAAAAAGAATATGTCTTAGGGCAACTGGTTATCAGGGTGGGAACAGTTAGTATTTTAGTGATACTAAAAAAAACTTGAGTAGCTTGAACAGTATTTCTGGGCTCTTTTTCATTTTCTGCAAACTGCGAGAGTCAGATAATACCTCCAGAGTTTGGTTAAACTTCGAAAAAAAAAAAAAAGATCTTTTGAACATCCATGTAGAAGTTTCTAATTTGTACTAAGTGGATATTTTCTGTAGGTACTGTAATTCTTACTCAGAACCTTTGTATAAAAATTCATTTTTTTTAAAGATATTTATTTATTGAGAGAGAGAGAGTGACAGAGAACATGAGAGGGGGAGAGTCAGAGGGAGAAGCAGACTCCCCGCTGAGCAGGGAGCCCGATGCGGGACTCGATCCCGGGACTCCAGGATCATGACCTGAGCCGAAGGCAGTCGCCCAAACAACTGACCCACCCAGGCGCCCCTAAAAATTCATTATTTTAAGGAACTTAAAACTATTGGAAAAATGGGGAAACTATGCAAGCACTTTTAAATATATATCCCCCCCATATTCACTAAAATGAAATAGGAACAATAAGTGAAGAAAATGTCCTATCGTAAACTAATAATGTTGCATGCAGTACAATTATTATTTTTTTTTAAAGATTTTATTTATTTGTTTGCCGGAGAGGGAGATTTTATTTGTTTGTTTGCCGGAGAGGGAGAGCAAGAGAGTGTGAGAATACAAGCAGGGGGAGCGGCAGGCAGAGGGAGAAGCAGGCTCCCCGCTGAGCAAGGAGCCCAGTGCAGGGCTAGATCCCAGGACTCTGGGATCATGACCTGAGCTGAAGGCAGACACTTAACCGACTGAGCCACCCAGGCATCCCAAATTTTTTAAATAAATTATCTATTTCTCTTTATTTATTTATTTAAAGTAAGCTATACACCACCCAATGTGGGTTTTAAACTCATGACCCCTAGGTTAAGAGTAGCATGCTTTAGCAACTGAGCCAGCCAGGCACTCCATAATTTTCATTATAAATATTTTTGACAGTAGTATACCTTATTTTAAGTTAGTAATATTTTCTCAATTCAAAACTCACATATTAAGTATGCAATGCCAAGTATTGCTTCGGCCATGCTCCATCTACTCTAGTTTTACTTGCTTCCTCTAACCGTTTATATTATGTATTCTTTCAGCGTTTCTTTGTAAAAATAAAAGCAGATGTTAATATTTTTCTTTTTCTATTTTCTTACATACAACAGGATATAGAAAAGACTTTGTTCTGTACTTTGTTTTTTTCTATATATATTTTTTAGTTACCTTTCTGTATCTGTATGTAGAGAGCATTCTCATTCTTTTTCACAACTGCATTGGATTCCATTGTGTGGATATGCTATAATATGTTTAACTTGATGATTATTGAACATTTGAGTTTTCACTTGTTGCTAACCATCCTACAGTGGATAATATTGTATATAAGTTATTTTGTATGTGTGCTGGTATCTGTAGGATACATTCCTTTTAGAAATGGTATTGCTGAGGTAAGGGGTAAAATACATTTGTAATTTTGCTAGATATTGCCAAATTGCCCTCTACATGGGTGATACAATTTTGTAGCTCCTCCATTATTGTAGGATAGCAGTCATTAGGAGAATACCTATATCCCCACAGCCTTATCAAGGGTCCTTTTTCTCCAACTCAGGAATTTTCACATATTCAGAATTGGTTCTTACAGAATTGATTCTGAAAGTTCAGTTGCTTTGTTATAGCTTTAGGAGGGCTGCAGTGTGTAATTGGCACAGCATAGCCTTCCGGGTTTTTCTGAGTGTGCCTTCTCCACCCTTTTCAAGAAAGCATAGATTGGTATTACACAGTTTCTTATTTAAAGTTCTTCAGAGGATTGTAGAAAAATATTCAAATTTTGCCAAAAGGCCTTCTTTTGTATTTCCTGTGGGCATTTGCTAAAGTACAGACCTTATCTAGTTGGCATAAGTTGATTTCTATAAATGTTTTTGCTTTGGGGCACCTGGGTGGCTCAGTTGTTAAGTGTCTGCCTTCAGCTCAGGTCATGATCCTAGGGTCCTTGGATTGAGCACCGCATCGGGCTCCCTGCTTAGTGGAAAGCCTGCTTCTGCCTCTCCCACTCTCGCTGCTTGTGTTACCTCTCTCGCTGTGTCTCTCTGTCAAATAAAATCTTAAAAAAAATAAATGTTTTTGCTTTTATTTTGTGTATCTATGCTGTTTTCGTCTCCAACTTGCCTATTGTTAGCTGTTCTTTTTGGCTCTTCATTCTTTCTGTGTTGGTATTCTGTTTACTTGAATGTTAGAAGAACTCTTTTGAACTTTTGGGTGGTAATGTCACTTTGCATTCCGAACTGAAACCCCTGTCCCTAAGCAGTTACATTTCTACAGCTATAAATACCATTAGGTATGGTCTTGACAGTAGTTTATGAACATTGTTTAATGTCTTAAAATTTGGTATCTTAGAAGCTACAGGAGAAACATAGTAAAATACACAACAGAAATTAAAGATAAGAATACAGGTGCCCAGTTAAGGGATCAACAGGCAAAATAAGCACAGAAATCTATGACTCAGAGGAAAGCCTATATTCTAAGAGCCAAGCTGACAAGGAAGTAGATATTCAGTGACTCACAGATACTGATCCAAAATAAATGTTTCTGTCAAATAAATGTATATTGACTTATAATGGATTTCTCAAGCAAGGATAGCCTTTTTGCTTTGGGGACAATCTCTGTTTAGATGGTTTGGTTGAATTGTGTTTTTAACTTATTCTAGTAGACTGTTCCTGTTTATGTGGCACTTAGACTCTAATGGGAGAAATAGGGACATTAATCATATGAAGAACCTATAACTACACAAGATAAGAGCTCTGAAAAGAGATGTGGTTCTGTGTGTATGTGTGTATGTGCGTGTGTGTGATTGTGTTTGTAGAGGTGGGCTGATTGGAATAATAGAAAATCAGAAGAATTTCTAAGAAAAATTTTCATTGAGAGAGGTGAAAGTGAATATGAGTTAACCAGGGGAAGGAAGAGAAGGGTGGTAGGTGGAGAGGATTCTTCTAGACAGGGTATCAGAATATGTTTTCAGAAGACAGAAAAAGAAAGAGTAGACTGGTTTTCCTCCTAGGATCTGGTTTATATAAAAATGTACTTCTTTCTCACCACTTGGTGGCACTTAAACGTGCTTTAACAAGGCTTAGTTTTGGCTGTGGAATATTCTGCAAGTATTTTTTAAAACTTAAGTAAACTGATATGTGAAAATTAGAGGGGTGTGGAAGAGGTTATTATTAAATCTTATGGAAAGAAAAGACAGTGTACTCAGGCTCTGGGTATTTCTCTAAATGGACATCTGTACAATCCACTCCTGCTGGGGAAGGATGAAGGCATTCTTTGTCAGGTACTCTTAGTTTTTTAGCCTCTTTTATTTCCAAGTTCAAATGGTGATTTTTTTTTTTTTTTGCTACCTTTTTTATTGAGATATAATTAAAAGTTAAAGCTCTTTAAATTTTTTTTTATTTTTTTATTTTTATTTTTTATATTTTATTCTTTGAAGAATGGTTCTGAAACATTACACTAAGTCAGGCTGAAAGGTAAAGTTTAAAATAGTTTTATAAGGGTATAACATAGGACTATTTGCTCCACAAAATTTTTGACCTTAGAGCTTATGATACACCTAGTTGGCAATAACACCCAGGTTTTTCCAAATAGTCATCATTTTTCTCTCGTCTGCATAGACTTCTTCTCATTAGCTGCCTTCTGCTTTTGTTGCATTATCTCAGAGTCCCTCTGCTTTCTCTGAGAGGTGGTCAAGCTATCCTCTTTTCTTTTTCCCTTGCTAATTTCCTGGGATTTCTTCATGTTTTTCTGGCGGGCAAGTTCTCGCTGATTTCCTCGGGCCATGCCGACACCGGACCGAGCCTGGAAGAGGGCCCCTGGGGAAAGCAACGGCCTCCTAGCACGCTCAAAGCTCTTAAATTTTGACAGTTGTGTACACCCCCTCCAAAACAAGATATAGAACAATTGTGCCTCCTATAAAGTTTACTTGTGTTCTGCTCCAGCTAGTTGCTCATTACTGCAATAACTGATTTCTGTCACCTTCAGTTAGTTTTACCTGCATCTGCATTTCATATAAAAGGAATCATACAGCATGTACTTTTTTGTGTCTGGCTTCTTTTGCTTACACATAATGTTTGTGTGTGTTATGTTAATGAACTGTTGTTCATTCCTTTTTAAGTGGATTTATTGAGATATAATTTATATAGCAAATAGTACACCCTTTTAAAGTATACAATTCAGTGATTTTTACTATATTCACAAAGTTGTGCAGCCATTAACATCATCAGATTTTAGACCATTTTCATCACCCCAGTGGGTATCGTTATATTCTGTTTATAGATAAGAACCCATACCAATTAGCAGTCACTCCTTGTCTTGTCCCCCTCACTTTCCATTCCCCAACAATGGACAATGACTGATTTACTTTGTTTGTAGAGATTTGCCTATTCTGGACATAAGTTCATTCTTTTGCCGAGTAGCATTCCATCGTATGGACACACTACAATTTGTTTAATCTGTTCATTGCTGATGGACATTTGAGTTGTTTCCAGTTTGGGGTTATTATAAATAAGGCTACTCCATAAACATTTTTTTTTTTTAAAGATTTTATTTATTTATTTGACAGAGAGAGACACCGCGAGAGAGGGAACACAAGCAGGGGGAGTGGCAGAAGGAGAAGCAGGCTCCCCGCGGAGCAGGGAGCCCGATGCGGGGCTTGATCCCAGGACCCTGGGATCACGACCTGAGCTGAAGGCAGACGCTTAACGACTGAGCCACCCAGGCGCCCCTACCCCATAAACATTTTTATATAAGTCTGTTTTCATTTCCCTTGGGTAAATACCTAGGAATGGAGTTGCCAGGTTATAGGGTAGAGATGTACATTCATACTTCATAAGAAACTGCCAAACAGCTCTCCAAAGAGGTGATATCTCCACTTTACATTCCTCTCCAACAGTGTATGGAGGGATCAATTACTCTGCATCCTCACAGATATTTGGTGTTTAACCAGGGGAAGGAAGAGAAGGGTGGTAGGTGGAGAGGATTCTTCAGTCTTTGTCATCTTTTCTATTTTGATTATTCTAGCATTTGTAAAGTAGTATCTCATTGTTTTGTTGTGGTATTTTAATTTCCCTGATGACTAAAGATAGCTTTTCATGTGCCTATTGGACTTCTCATATATGTTCTATTTTGAAGGGTCTAAAAGTCTTTTGCCCATTAAAAAAAAAATGAGTTAATCTTTTTGTTGATTTGTGAGAGTTTTTTATATAAGTAATGTATAATTATATAATTGATATTTGCTCTTCAATAAATGTAAAGATAGAAATAGGTATCTGTGGAGGATTTATTGTAACATGGGGTTTATAGTCTCAGATTTTTCTGAAGAATCAGTAGAAGAAGGTCACTTTATTTAGACTTTTTCAAAGTAGACTTTTTCTACAGTAGTTGTTTTCTTATTGAACCATGAAATGATTCCTTGCAGGTGGGGAAGAACAACAGCTTTTAGGAGGTATACCCTATAAAAAACAACAAATAAGCCAATTCAGTAACTTCAGTCACAATACCTGCCACTCCATAGACTTCAAGGTAGAACCATGGTCTTCAATTCACCTTCTCCATAGGAAGTTTTGTCACTTTTGGTGGAGTCCCCAATGGACCCAAGTAGTCCATGCCACATAAAAGCAATCCTTCTGACCTCTAAAACACCTAAGATGAGAACTGCCGGTAAACTGGTTCTGTAGTTTGCCCTCCAAGTTGTCCCACATTCTGTGTAGCTACCTCACATGCCATATCCGATAGTCCACATAGCTGGAATTAGGTGTGAACTCTGTTGTTAGGGCACATGTGGCTCACACCATTACTGCAGTGTCAGTAAAAAGTATTGATGAGCCTGCAGAAATTTTAGAGAAGCTGGGCTAGGGTACCAGCAGGAGCAATAGCCGTAATTTAGCTTTTGGTGTTACATCATGGAGTGTTTAGAAAACCAGCCTTCTGAGAGACATTGATGAGCTTTCATCAATCTCTCTTGCTTGTGGAAAAGAGAACATGGGGCATTTCGTGACCCTAAAATAATTTTGTTGAAAATGATTTACTTAACTGGATGTGTCTTTACTAAAATGGAAAGCATTACAGGCAGTCCAGGAATATTTACTGTTGTTTCTATCTCTGTACATGCTATTAGATACCTGGTATCTTTTATTTATTTCTATTTCTATTTTTTTTTAAAGATTTTTTTATTTATTCATTTGAGACACAGAGATAGAGAATATGAGCAGGGGGAGAAGCTGGCCCCCCGCTGAGCAGGGAGCCCGATGTGGGGCTCGATCCCAGGACCCTGGGATCATGACCTGAGCTGAAGGCAGACGCTTAATGACTGAGCCACCCAGGCGCCCCCCCGCCTTTTTTTTAAAGATTCGGGAGAGAGAATTTTAAGCAGGCTCCATGTCCAGCCTGTAGCCCTATGTGGGGCTCAATCCCACAACCCTGAGATCATGAGATCATGATCTGAGCCGAAATCAAGTCAGACGCTTAACCAACTGAGCCACCTGGGCACCCCTAAAAGTTTTTATCACTTTTGCATTCTCTGTCATTAAAGATTCTTTTTGATTCTTGCCTGTCTGTATTCCATCTAGTCTTTGATTCACACTTCCAGTGTAAATTTTCTAACACTTGCCATTGTCCTGTCAAAAGTCTTTCAGTGGCTCCCATTGTCTTCAGGATAAAATTTAAACTTTAGCTGGCTTTCCAGGAACATCTTAGCCTATATCTTAACGATTTTACCTAATTTTTCTGGATTTCCCAATAATCAGCATAATAAGAGCAAATGTTTGTTTATATAGTACTTACTCTATATGCCAAGCACTGGCGTAGGCAGTCATAATACATTTCTTGTAGTTCTTTTTTTTAATTAATGTTTTCAGAGAGAGAGAGAGTGTGGGGGTGGATGGGTAGAGGGAGAGAGAGAATCTCAAGCAGGCTCAGTCTCATGACCCCGAGATCATGACCTGAGCTGAAATCAAGAGTCGGATGCTTAACCGACTGAGCCACCTAGGAGCCCCTCAATTTCTTGTAATTCTGCAAATAGATCAAGTACCCCCACTTTCATACTTTGGCACATCCTGTACTCTATGACTAGAATACTGTCTCAGTCTCTTTATTTAATACCTACTTGTTCTTTGAGAGTCCATTCAGACATCACTTCTTGGAAGCTGAATTTCTATATTCACTTTCTGTGCCCTACCCCCCACTCCTCACCTCTTAAAATTATAGTGAGATGTCGGAGTAATGCATATATAATCAATCTACTGTAAATCAGAACACAGTTTTTCTCCCTCTTCCAACTTTTCTTCTGCAGTATGGACAGTTCAGTAGGAATGAGTTGCCCTAGTTTAAGAGCAGATAAAAGATTTATGACTGTTAATCATTACCACCACCTTCCTCAAACCCTGTATTTGAAAACACATGGGTCCACAGGCAAGATGTTTAGTCTGGTAACAAAATGAGTAAGATAGTCCTTGCCTTAGAAGACCCCAAAATCTGGTGGGAATAGACAGACTTATAAGCAGCTAATTATATCTTGCTGGGTCAAAGATGTAAACACTAAAAAGAAAACAGAGAAGTCATAAAAGAATTAGAAGATGGTTAGGCAGGTTTTTTCCCCAATCATATTGAAGTGGAAAGTCCTTTAAAGACATACGGAGAGTTATAAAGGGAATGATTTTATTTAAAAATTAAATACTTTACATGGCAATAAAATGCCATAAAATAAAAAAGGAAAAAAAGAAAAAATATTACAGCTTTCATTAATGCATAAGCTCTGCCATATATTAAAATGAACTCTTAAAATACAGAAAGCAAAAGGGATTTATCTGTCCACTAGAAAAATGGATAAGAAAATGAATAGGGAGGGGCGCCTGGGTGGCTCAGTCGGTTAAGTGCCTGCAGGGTCCTGGGATCATCTTCCAGGTCCTGGGATGGAGCCTGCTCAGTAGGGAGCCTGCTGCTGCTTCTCTCTCTGTCCCTCCCCCTTGCTTGTGTGCACACTCTCAAATAAATAAATAAAAATTAAAAAAAGAAAATAGGGAATTCAGAGATCAACAAACATATGAAAATTGTCTGATCTTAATTACAATGGAGGAATTGCAAATGTAAACTACAAGTTAAAATCTTTGGCCTATCAGGTTGGCTAAGAGAAGTTGAAGTGTCAAAAGTTTACAGAGGCCATCTAAGGTATTTCCACTGGCCTAAGATGGAAAATTTGACTATATAAAAAAGTAATTACTCCAGTAGAGTAAACTGTATTAAAATTAAAATCCAGGGCACCTGGGTGGCTCAGTTGGTTGAGCGACTGCCTTCGGCTCGGGTCGTGATCCTGGAGTCCCGGGATCGAGTCCCGCATCGGGCTCCTTGCTCAGCGGGGAGTCTGCTTCTCCCTCTGACCCTCTCCCCCTCATGCTCGCTCTCTCTCAAAAAAAAAAAAAAAAAAAAAAATTAAAATCCAGAAGTCCATAATGATACTTTAAATAAATAATTATTGATCACCTTTGGAGGTTTTAAGGTTGTCAGCTCATTGTTCTGAAAACTTATGCATAGAGAGGAGGAGGAGGCACTTATACTGCATTTCATTGCAAAATGTGTTTTAAGGTAACCAAATAGTTGATGATAGAAAGTTCTTCTTTCTTGAAGAAAGTGAAGAATGAAAATATTAGAAAAGTCACCATTTTGTGCCCACAACACAGTAATAGATCTAGACATATACTTGATGTATGCTGTAATTATTAGGTGAAAGGTGATTGTTGACTATAATGGTGGGATCAAGTTGATATCACGAATTCACTGATCAATGTTCATCATTAAAAGTTGAAAAGGCAGACCTATGTCTCTTAATAGGAAGGACCCAGGTCT